TGGCGGGGCTCGGGGTGGTGGGGGGCGGGGAGATGAACGCTGCGGCCAGCAGCTACCCCATGGCCTCCCTGTACGTGGGCGACCTGCACTCGGACGTCACCGAGGCCATGCTGTACGAAAAGTTCAGCCCCGCGGGGCCTGTGCTGTCCATCCGGGTCTGCCGCGATATGATCACCCGCCGCTCCCTGGGCTATGCCTACGTCAACTTCCAGCAGCCGGCCGACGGTGAGTAGAAGCTGTGCCCACACGTGCGTGGGAGCCCGGCGGACCCCGGGAGTCGTCTTCTGGCAGGGCCCTCCTGCCAAGGAGGGCAGCATCACGACAGCATGTTGCCACCGAAGCTTGGAGCAGGGTGCAGAGATTGAGAACGCAGACCTGGCATCAGATGACTCGAGTTTCAATCTTGTTTCTACCACTTGCTAACTGGGTGACCTTGGGCTACTTACTGGTGTTGCTGGTAGTGGGGTTGGAAACCAAGGAAACTGTAAAACAGGATTAGAGTGAAGCCACTGGCATTCCACTGTGTGTGGTCCTTGTCAGTGGGGCTGGGCTGTTACAGACCCTTGCTTGTGCCCTTCACAGGCTGGCCGAAAAGGAGGGACGTTTGAAACACAATTCCCCGCAAAAGTTCTACATTGTAGAGCTCTTGCCCGCTCTGCCACCTTTACTAACCTTGACTACCTGATGTTGTGCTGATAAAGGATGGGTCAGGGCAGGCAGGAAGCAGGGGGAAGGTTTCTGTGCGTTAAACTAGCAGAGATTTAGGTTAGTGTCACAGGAGCTGCGTGTGCCAGGCCAGCTCCTTAGTCTGTGTGTTTGCCACTGGAGTGGAGAAGTGCTTTGCGCTGGACAAATGGTATCCAGGCTCTGTGCTGTAAAGAGTGTTGTGGAGGTAGTTTGGGGAAGCGTCACTTGAAAATCTGGTGGCATTTGTCACCTCAGCTGTAACAGTGGTTTGCACTCGTCAGAGCCCTTTTACTTCATTTAATCTGAAGAAAATGGGACTCCTGAGAAGGAAAAGGAATGCAAAAAGTTGGAAACCAAGTTGGGACTCCCAGCACAGTGCTCTGCCACCTCAGATTGTGGCCTTAGCATGGAGAGAGGTATGTTGCAGGCGTGGCAGGAGTGAGGCCAAAGGAAATCTGATCAGAGGCTGCACGTGACTCCAGATTAGAAGGGAACAACTGCAGAGATCATTACTGGGAGAAACAAGCCATGCTATGGCAAAGGATCTCCAGGTCGCTAGTTTTGAGGTCCCCACTTTGTTTTCTGTCTGAGGCCCAGAGTTACTACTTGCCCAGGTTGCAGCTGAGACCAGAGAATTGGACATGTTAAGGGGAACCTAGGTATTGCTACCGTCAACCCAGTATGCTCCAAGCTGAGTTCTGTCTATGGCTATAGGAGCGCAAAGAAGGTAGCTGAGTGTGGTCTTTTTAAGGGATAATGTACCACATTAGCTGTTGTCTGCCTTCTTGACTTTTGAACAAAAGTCATGTCACTTAGAGATAGCAGAAGCCATTGGTCAGTGTGTCTGCCAACACATACTTCTGCAGGACTTCTCCCTGCTATAAATAAGTGCAGCCAGATTTGTCAGACTAAGCCGGCTTGCCTTGTGCAGTGCTGTCTGGAAATAGACGAGGAGCTGTGTTGAAATGGGCTCCTTTACTGCTAATTAATGAAATAGTTTGCGATCCCAGCTATCTATCTCTGATAGCCATCACAAGCAAACTCCTCCTTTCCTGGACTGTTCCTGACTTGGATCTGTCTTGTCATCTCCCCTTTTCCCAACTGCCCCCCATACAGATGAGCCCACCTTCTGAAGGGGGTGGGGAAGTTTGTTGGAAATAATGAGTGAAAATAAATTCTCCTGGTTAAAGAAACAGTTGAGCTTGTGGAGCGTCAGAGTTGGGGAATTTTGTCCCCCCTCTTAAGTGAGATGTTGCCTTGAGGCAAGGAGCAGATTCCACTGCTCTGACCCTGTCTAAATCCCCTCATGGAGGTGGTTCTGGGTAATGTCACCGATAGGAGATGTCGTCACAGCCTTAAGGAAAAGTGGCCACCGGATCTGGGGATCCTTGTTGCGATTAGTGATGAGAAGTGTTTTGGCTGGCAGGTGGTGGTGTATTTTAGCTTCTGGTTCTTTTTGTTGTTGTTTGTTTTCGCTCTTGTTGCCCAGGCTGGAGTGCAATGGCGCGATCTCAGCTCACTGCAACCTCTGACTTCCGGGTTCAAACGATTTTCCTGCCTCAGCCTCCTGAGTAGCTGGGATTACAGGCGCCCACCACACACCCAGCCAATTTTGTATTTTTAGTAGAGATGGGGTTTCACCATGTTGGTCAGGCTGATCTCGAACTCCTGACCTCAGGTGATCCACCTGTTTCAGCCTCCCAAAGTGCTGGGATTACAGGAGTGAGCCACCATGCCCGGCCTAGCTTTTGGTTCTTTAAATTGTCTCTGGTGCACATATGGACTTAGTTGGGAAGCTACAGAAGCTTTCCAAGGCACTGGATGGGGAAGTTGGTTGGGCACCCAGGGTAGCTGAAGTCCTAGAATTCTACAGAACTTCGATTAAGGCTTCAAAAGGTAGGTGCCGGGCCTACCATCTGCGTGCTGTCTGCTTAGGCAGAAGGTATGGTGGTTTAATCCTTGTTGTGATAGTACAGAGAACTTTTCCATGTGTGATCAGTTGTATCCATTTTGGTGATTGGATTTTTATTCTCAGAAACTGAAAATAAAAGAAATTGGACTGAATTCTGAATTCAGGGATAGCACCTTTTTTTTTTTTTTTTCCCCAGATCATTTGCTCATACGTTTAGTTGCTTGTCTCCGTGGATGGATTGCAGACTAAATGACTTGATAACTTTGATGCAATACCTCACTGAAAAATAAATCAGATAATCTAGTATTAGTTTCCTAATCACTAGCTAGCTGCACAGCTTAGTCACCCTAAACATAAGTTTGTTCATTTTGTAAAATGTATAATTTCAGCTGTCCCACCTGAGTCATGGTGGGTGGCAGTCTGCAAAGTCTTCCAAATGGTAAAGCTTAGTCAAATGTGAGGTATTATCATTGGATCTTGGTGTCATTAAGGCCATTTAGATTATCTTTACTTATGGCCCCTTTATCCAACAAGGGCACAGACCCAGAAGGGCGTTTAGACTTCTGTCATGAAGTAGAGTCATTAGCTGGAACTTATTCTACCCTTACTAACAATGCAGGCTGGAGGAATCTGATGCCCTTTTATTTTAATAGAGTTGCCTTTTATCAAGAGTGATTACCTTGAAAAGTCCTGGAGTAATCTGTTCTTAGGATGTTGGCCTGTGGGAGCTGATGTTTTCTCTCCTTATTGAAATGTGTTTCTCTCTTACAGCTGAGCGGGCTTTGGACACCATGAACTTTGATGTGATTAAGGGAAAGCCAATCCGCATCATGTGGTCTCAGAGGGATCCCTCTTTGAGAAAATCTGGTGTGGGAAATGTCTTCATCAAGAACCTGGACAAATCTATAGATAACAAGGCACTTTATGATACTTTTTCTGCTTTTGGAAACATTCTATCCTGCAAGGTAAACACTGATTAAATGATTTTGGCAGAATAATTGATTCTCAAAAACAAGATAAATACCAAATGGAAAACTACCTTGGCATCAGGATACAGGAATTTTCAAAATGCTGGACATGGAATTCTAAAAGTTCCCATGGGTAGTCTCAGGGCCACACCCAGTGTAACCAGCACACGTTTTCATACCCTTGTTCTTTCCTCAGCCTGAAATATCTTTCCTGTTCTTTAGCTTTGGAAAGCCCCAGGTTTTTCTTTTGGGATGGGGAAAAGGAGAGGACCAGAGAAGTGTCTCTAGTCTTCAGGGAACTTAATCACGTTAGAAGCATAAATTCACTCTGTTCCTTCTATGTATCTGTTTTATGCTGAGCACTTTAAAACTTAAACAGTGGTGGTGTAGGTGTTTAACGCCATACTGCACTGAAAATCTGTTGTGGCCTTGGAAAATGTTTTGTCTTTTGCAGCACTGTGGTTTGCACCCAGATCTCTTAAAATGTGTTGTTGTTGTGTTTTAAAGGGACAGGGTCTTGCTCTGTCTGTCACCCAGGGTGGAGTGCAGTGGTGTAGTAACAGCTCATTGTAGCTTCGATCTCCTGGGCACAAGCCATCCTCCCACCTCAGCCTCCCAAGTAGCTGGGACTACAGGCATGTGCTACCACATTCAGTTAATCTTTTTATTTTTTGTAGAGACAGGGTCTCTCTCCATTGCATAGGCTGGCCTCCAGCTCCTGGCTCCAATGATCCTTCTGCTTTGACCTCCCAAAGCATTGGAATTACAGGCATGAGCCACAGCACCCAATTTTAAGTGTTTTCTTTGTTTTTTTGTTTTGTTTTGTTTTTTATAAAAAGAAAACATTTGGAATAGAAGAAGCCTAGTAGTGGCTACCTTTGTAAATGGAACACTTACTAGGTACCTGGTGCTGTGCTAGGTGTGAGAAAAATTGTACTGGTGTACTTGGCCACCTTTGGCCATGGATGGGCCAAAGCCTTCTCAGGCACAAGATACCCTGAGGTTCTCATGTCTCAGGAGCTGGCCAGTGGTGCTAAAGTGGTCCACCTTGTCTTTGACAGGTGGTGTGTGATGAGAACGGCTCTAAGGGTTATGCATTTGTCCACTTCGAGACCCAAGAGGCTGCCGACAAGGCCATCGAGAAGATGAATGGCATGCTCCTCAATGACCGCAAAGTGTGAGTGTCCCAGTCCGGAGCAACAACCATCGCATGAGCCAGCCGTGGCCCCACCTCGGTATTAACTGGCACACACAAGGCGGCTACTGGTTCTCGGCCCAAGTGTGGCCTGCTCCTACCTCTCCACTCCAGGGCTGGTGAGTCTCCCTGCCTGAGCCGTGGCAGCCCTTTTGACTCGCCAAGGTGGGCTTCCTGCCCAAGCCATGGCCTGCCTGCCGCCTCTCCCTTAAAGGCATCTGTCTGTGGGTTTTGTGAGCATCAACAACTGGGGCTGGCTGGAAGGCAGCTCTAAGCTCACTCTGAGTCGGGGTCTTGGCCAGCGGCAGAGTGGAGAGGGCCCTGGACTGACCAGGAGCTGTATACTAGCAGTGTGACCTTGGCTTTCCTGTGACTCAGGTCTGTCCATGGGTCCCTCGCTAGTGGTTGATGCCAAATTGTCCCCGCGGTTCTCCATTTTCTGACTTATGATTCAGTGACCTAATGCAAGGCTGGCTCCACAGTAATACTTGGTGACAATGAAAAATCCCATCCCTTTGCAGAAAAACTTCGTAATAGACCTGTTGCTTTGGTGTGGTTGTTACTGTAGAATGCAGAAGGGGAACTTAGCAAAGCCATGTGGGGAGAAGAAGGGACAATAAGTCTTGGCTATTACAAGCCAAAATATTTTTGTGTCATTCAAAATCCTTTGTGTCATTCAACATACCAGAGGATGGGTTATGTTTATAATGTCTGTGTGCCCAGTGGTTGATTGATCTACAGATACCACTAAAAAGAAATATAAAAATGTCAGTGTATGGATAAATTTTCTTCTAAGTATAAGAGTACCAAAATAAATTTAAAGGAAAGGGTGCCCCTTCGCTCCAGCAATCTCATACCTAGGATTAACCACTGTTAACAGTTTGGTTTGTATCCTTCCAGACCTTTTCTATGCATTTACATAGTTGCACAGAAATGAACGTTTTAAAAACATGGCCATCAGGTTTCTTCATGAAGGCAGTGTGATGTGGTAGGAGTAGCCCTGGTCTAAGCCAGGAGCCCTGGGGCTGGTCCTTACAGGATAGTCCTGCCTTTTTCTCTTTCTGCTGGGGACTTGGGTATCTCTGAGCCTCCTCGGTGGTGGATGGGGATCTCATGTTTTAACTTCTCCTGTCAGCCTTTAACTTGTATTCCTTTGGGTCCCTGGACATCATGTTTTATTCCTCTGGGTGATTACTTTTTTCATGGTTTCTTTTTAGATTTGTGGGCAGATTCAAGTCTCGCAAAGAGCGGGAAGCTGAGCTGGGAGCCAAAGCCAAGGAATTCACCAATGTTTATATCAAAAACTTTGGGGAAGAGGTGGATGATGAGAGTCTGAAAGAGCTATTCAGTCAGTTTGGTAAGTTGAGGGTCCTTGTCCCCTTTCACAGTCCACCAGACCCATCTCTTCTTTCTTAAGAGATGAGGGCACTGCTCCAGAGGTTTGCTTCAAGTGAGTTTCGAGAGGGAAGCCTTCTCTCCTTGAGCTGTGCTTGAGATGGTGTTACTAATAGTTCTGTCCTTTGGTAATAGGTAAGACCCTAAGTGTCAAGGTGATGAGAGATCCCAGTGGGAAATCCAAAGGCTTTGGCTTTGTGAGTTACGAAAAACACGAGGATGCCAATAAGGTGAGTGTACCACAAAGGTTGGGAAAAACTTGTAAGAGGTGGCCCCAGAGTATGGGCAGAGTCTTGCTAGCACCTAGCTAGAGCTGGGATGGTCTGAGTATCTAGTAGTAGATGTACCATTACTATACTCTGGGATCATCTTCCTGGGTTCCACATGTTAACATGATGTAGGTGTTCACAAAGCACTTGGCACATACCTGTCACCTCAGCTGTCAGTTGTTGAAAGAATAGGACAGATGTTTGTTCCCCTGCAAAAGTGAGAGAACTAAAGCCCAGTGAGTGCTGATTTCATAACAGCACAGCAGCTACTTGTGGGCAAAGCATTGTGCCAGACCCTCAAGATATATCACTTAAATACCCACAAAAGCACCTGCAGAATTTACTGGCAGCCAGAAGATGATATCGCCCTGGGCTCATGTCAGCACACTTGTGTTTATACACCTGTGCTATTTCTATATTATCTGGATCAATAACCTATTTAAATATTAACCTCATTTTACAGATGAGGAAGTTTGGATTTGTGTGACAGACTTCAGAGGTGGAATGAATTTAGTTTTTAGTCCTATAGTAGAAAGAATACTTGTTGGGACTTAGACCTCTGGAATAAGACCCCATCACTGCAACTTTATTTTAAAGACATTTTTCCTCTCTAGGCTGTGGAAGAGATGAATGGAAAAGAAATAAGTGGTAAAATAATATTTGTAGGCCGTGCACAAAAGAAAGTAGAACGGCAGGCAGAGTTAAAACGGAAATTTGAGCAGCTGAAACAGGAGAGAATTAGTCGATATCAGGTAAGGTGGTCTTGGCCCAGCCTAGCAATGGGATTTGCTGTGAAATATTTGCAGAACACCCTTATGTTTAGCAGGCTTTCTTTTTGGGGATTTGGAGTCTGTTCTTCCCATTTCCCCCAAGAAGATTAGGTTTAAAAGGATATTTACCTACTACATATATGACAGTGATTATTTTAGAACCAGAAACAAGAGAAATGAGTTTATTCATCAAGAAGCTCTCTATTCTGGAAGCCTTAGCCTGTTGCTAGCCATGTAGATTCCTTTTACTTAAATGAGCCTCCTTTGTTTGGCATGGCTTCAAGAAGACCCCTGCTGGGGTAGGGGGTGAGTGGTCACCACAGCAGCTGTGGGGAGAGGTGACAAAAGGTGACTGCACTGATGATCCTTGTCAGTTTCAGGGCAGTAGTTTCACAACTTTGAGCTTGCATCAGAATCACCAGCAGAGCTTGTTAAAACAGATAGCTGGACTCCAGCCCTAGAGTTTTTCTGGTTCACTGGGTTTGGGGTCTGGCCTGATAATTTCTTTTTTCTTTTTTTTTCCTTCTCTTGAGATGGAGTCTTGCTCTGTTGCCCAGGCTGGAGTGCAGTGGTGCGATCTCGGCTCCCTCCAAGCTCCGCCTCCCAAGTTCGCTCCATTCTCCTGCCTCAGCCTCCCGAGTAGCTGGGACTACAGGCGCCCGCCACCACATCTGGCTAATTTTTTGTATTTTTTGTAGAGAACAGGGTTTCAGCCTTTTAGCAAGGATGGTTTCGATCTCCTGACTCCGTGATTGACCCACCTCGGCCTCCCCAAAGTGCTGGGATTATAGGCATGAGCCACTGTGCCCAGCTGAGAATTCCATTTCTAACAAGTTTCCAAAGATGCTGGTGCTCCTGGTCTGGGAGCTACCCTTTGGGAACCACTTTCTAAGGGAATATTTGTGGTACAGAAATGCAATTAACAGTGATCTTTTTCCTTCAGGGAGTGAATCTCTACATTAAGAACTTGGATGACACTATTGATGATGAGAAATTAAGGAAAGAATTTTCTCCTTTTGGATCAATTACCAGTGCTAAGGTATTATAATACTGAGATTTGGAGATTGAAAGCAGTAGTATTCCATTATAGGTTTATTGGCATTTGTTCCATTGAAGGAATAGCATTTAAATTATGTTCATTTCTGAAAGTAGCTACTACGTTTTTCCAGCAAAACTTCTGGATACATTTTGGAGAATGGCATTTCATTAGGTTAGCATTACACTGTTTCCCAAGCACTGGAGTCTGGAGAGGAATTTGGCCCAGCCCCTCCCAGCCAACCCAGAGCACCTGAATCTTTCCCATTCCTTGCTGCCTCGTGCCGGTGTGGGGACAGATGGTGCTACAGAATGAGCAGAGGAAATCCAGACAGGTTATTTTCCATTTGTCTTGGGACCTGTCTCTACAGCTCTGCCACATTTTCTCCTTGAGAATGAAGGTATTTTAAAGATTTTGGGAGTGGGCTTGGGAACTTCTACCCTGGTCTTAGAGAGGAAAGGGGAGCGGAAGGTTTTTCCGTGTTTCGTAGTGTGCATCATTTGCTTGATTTTCTTTGATAATCACATCAACTAAGTTAGCAGGATAAGTAGGAACCTCATTTTAAAGATAAGGAATTTTAGTCCTTGAACAAGAGATTGCTGACTACATGGGGATGGTGTACTGTTTGTCCTTAGCACTTTGGGAGCAGGATGGAAGCTGGTGGCATCTGAACATTTTGGGTTATGGCCTGATGCAGACTCCGGTCTTGCTAAACAGAGGTGTACCAGATGCCACAAAATCCTTTAGTTGATGAGAAGGGAAGCCATGTGGGCTGTTCTAAAGGCATAGTGGCCCTGCCCTGGCTCTTAGGGGAATTTGCTCCCAACCTGGGAATGTGGAAAGCAATGTTATTAGTTGTAGTAGGGAGTTGGCCAGAGGCCAAGTGTGGGTTTGCCCAGTTCTTACCCTTTCCTTTTTGCTATGACCCCCTTGATTGGACCCCATCAGTGTAAGGAATGATCTTCTCTCCTTGCTTATCTGCCTAGTAGTCAAGTTGCACTTTGTTAAGAGAGCAAAAGAGCCATACCTTGAATTGTCACCATTTTCAAGATGATGGTGTGGCATTTTTTTTCACATACATACTGGCCTACCTAATTGGTAGAGAGTTATGGAGTGATGCACATCTTTACGTCCCTATTCTCCACTTCAGGAGGCTCTCTGGGCCATTAACTAAGACATAAAACAATGACAGTCACACCAGAGAAGACAGTGAATAACCTTTTCAAATAAGGAAAAATGCAATTTGTGAATGATGAACTTAATGTGGAAGAAGACTGCCTGAACCAGTAGACCTGTGGTTTTGCAGCTGTTTGGGGTATTTCATGGAAATTGAGCCTCAGGAGGGCAAGTAAGACTAGGATGTAGGCACCTATCTCTAAGCTGGCCATCTCGTTGAATTAATGGTGGTAGTCATTGATTACCTGAACATTTTATGACTCCTGTCCACATGTGGTATTCCTAAAGTGTTATCCTGATGTTGCTAAGAACTTATTAAGAGGTTTGTCCACCGAGGTCTTGGAGCAGATGAGATTGGAAAACAAATTGCTCAACACTACCCTCGAGATGTTTTGTGGTTACCCAGGGGTAGCTATCCACCAGGTATCAGGAAACATCTTTGAGTTCCTGGTTTTACCATTAGCCATATCATAGTGTTTCGGAACTTTAGCATCACCTGGGGACTTAAAGAAAATGCCTTAGAGGTTGTGACTTAGTTGGTCTGGGGTAAATCCTATGCCAGTTTTGAACCCCTGACCTAGGCTCAGTGACTGCAGCATAACCCAGGCTTTCTGGTTCTTCTGAATAGTTCCCTTCCCACCCAGGGACATCTTTTTTTTCCTATTTGTGGGTTTGTTTTGGTTTGTTTGGTTGGTTGGTTGGTTGGGTTTTTTGTTTTGTTTTGTTTCTGAGATGGAGTCTCGCTCTGTCGCCCAGACTGGAGTGCAGTGGCGTGATCTCAGCTCACTGCAACCTCTGCCTCCCGGGTTCAAGCAGTTCTCCTGCCTCACCCTCTTGAGTAGCTGGGATTACAGGTGTGTGCCACCATGCCCGGCTAATTTTTGTATTTTTAGTAGAGACGGGGTTTCACCATGTTGTTCAGGCTGGTCTTGAACGCCTGACTTTGTGATCCACCCACCTCAGCCTCCCAAAGTGCTGGGATTACAGGCATGAGCCACTACACTTGGACCTTTGTTTTTTTGAGATGAGGTCTCACTACGTTGCTCAAGCTGGTCTCAACCTCCTGAGCTCAAGCAGCCCTCCCACCTCGGCCTTCCAAAGTGCTGGGATTACAGGTACGAGCCACCACACCCAGCCAAGGACACCTTATTTTTTAAGTAGCTGGTCTCATTTTGTAGGTAATGCTGGAGGATGGAAGAAGCAAAGGGTTTGGCTTCGTCTGCTTCTCATCTCCTGAAGAGGCAACCAAAGCAGTCACTGAGATGAATGGACGCATCGTGGGCTCCAAGCCACTATATGTTGCCCTGGCCCAGAGGAAGGAAGAGAGAAAGGCTCACCTGACCAACCAGTATATGCAACGAGTGGCTGGAATGAGAGCACTTCCTGCCAATGCCATCTTAAATCAGTTCCAGCCTGCGGCGGGTGGCTACTTCGTGCCAGCAGTCCCACAGGTGGGTGTGCTGTTTGGTCACAGCTCTTGGAAACCTGCCTGCTGGCAGTATTCTGCAGTGGTTGGGGAGAGGGATCTTTCGTTATTAGAGTTCTAGAATGTCAGAGTATGGAACCTTCAAGTGAAAATGAAGGACTTACCCATGGTCACATACACACACACCCACAGTGGCAGTGGTAGAGTAAAACAGTCCCCATTAGCTGACCCCTCAGCTTTTGAATAGAAAGAACATTTAAATAATTAGCTTAGGTCCTGGTTAGTGAGATGAGATGAGATACTTCTCTAGGGTGGTTCAGTCCTTAAGAGGGTGTTTGGGTATTCTTCTGTCTTACAGGCTCAGGGAAGGCCTCCATATTATACACCTAACCAGTTAGCGCAGATGAGGCCTAATCCACGCTGGCAGCAAGGTGGGAGACCTCAAGGTAGGTGGTTGGGGAACAGTGATTTGACGGCCTAGGATACACCTATCCTGGTCTCCCCTGCCTTTTCTGCTTCCCTGCTTTGAGGCATAGCCTAGGTTCTGGTCCACATCACTTCTCAGTGATGTGCAATTTTTTCTCTTCACCAGGCTTCCAAGGAATGCCAAGTGCTATACGCCAGTCTGGGCCTCGTCCAACTCTTCGCCATCTGGCTCCAACTGGTAATGCTCCGGCCTCTCGTGGCCTCCCTACTACCACTCAGAGAGTCGGTGAGCAAACTGGCCTTTAGAAGTGTGGCCCGGGGAGGAGGGAGTCAGGATGACTAGGCTCTGCCCTGGGTTGGTCAGTTTGTTGGGCTCTTATTGAGTCCTGGTTCTGTAATCTTAGCTGTATGCTTAGGTGGCCACTTCAAGAGTAGAGAAATATGAGTTCTAGGTGTGTCAGTTGCTTTTAACATTCTTTGCTCATCGGTGACTCATGTGAAAAAGTTAGTTGTAGAAGTTTGCTAGCTGGATGACTACAGAGGCAGCCTGTTCTTTTGGGTGGGGTGAGGAATACGAGGAAACAGCTCGTACAGAATATGTCCTGTATTCCAAGACGTGGAAAGAGTTGTATGTTATCTTTTGGCTCATCCTCGAAAGTAGTAGTGGCCCCCTGTGCAATGTGTTGCGTAAACGTGCTTTGAAATTTCTCCTTCCGTGGGACGTGGCCAGTTGGACATCTGCTGCCAACACTGATGTGCATTTGCTGGTCTGTTGTAGGGTCTGAGTGCCCGGACCGCTTGGCTATGGACTTTGGTGGGGCTGGTGCCGCCCAGCAAGGGCTGACTGACAGCTGCCAGTCTGGAGGTGGTATTGGATGCACACAGAAGGGGGAAAGATGGGATTTGACGGGTCTTTGCCCAGACTGATGGGCTTTAATTGTATTTGTTCTTTCCCTAAGGCGTTCCCACAGCTGTGCAGAACTTAGCGCCACGCGCTGCTGTTGCCGCTGCTGCTCCCCGTGCTGTTGCCCCCTACAAATACGCCTCCAGTGTCCGCAGCCCTCATCCTGCCATACAGCCTCTGCAGGTGAGGTCCACCAGACAGAATGCTTAAAAGGATTTCCCCCATTTCCACTTGATGTAAAAGAAGCTTTGCTTTGATTCCTTCAACAGGTATTAAATGCCTGCTCTGTGTTATGACGCTATGTTCTGATTCATTGTCCCTGCCCTTTAGGGGCTCACTAGTGGGAGAGAAGGGGCTTAAAAGTGCTCTGCCTGATGCCAGTTCACTCAGAAATGCCTCACAAGGGGCAGCCAGTGCTTCCTGCTCTCTTTGTGCGGAATAATGTGCTCACTCAGCTCTTTGAGCCTCCAGGTCACTTCCACATCCAGTGACCTATTGGATCCTTGGCTGCTCTGCAAGATGATTGGTACATTAAGGCAGGAAATAACTTCAACTTACAGATCGGATGTTCAGCTTCAAAGATGTAAAGTGTGTGTAGGAGGGGAAGGGGTTGAACCTAGAGCTTAGATTTTCTAAGCGGTAACTTGCAGTCTCTAGACCTGTGCTCTAGATGCAACTAGTTTGTTTCAGAGCTTAATAGCAATTTGCCATGGAGGTATCACCCTAAGCCTTCAGGCCCATAAGCTGCTTAGTAGATTACTCTTTAACTGTCCTGTCTCATACTCTCTGAGTTGGGGATTTCTTAGAACTTGATGCTATGTAAAATACCTTTTCTTTGCAAGGCTTTGACTAGCATTGACATTGCATGTTGACAGTTTTTAGCATTTGATACAAGAACATTTGGTACAGTTACGGTGATGTGGAATGTAATTATAAATGTGTTGATATTTACACCCTTTGATCCAGTCTGCACTGAGATTTACCCTAAAGGAAAAGAGTAATTTTCAGGAAAAGCTTATATACAAGTGTTCACTTTACCCTTATTTATAACAAGGCTTTTCATTCTTGAGTAACTGTGGGTGCATTAAGGAAATGTCAGAAAATGCTTGCCTAGTGCTATAAGTTTGTTTTATTATTTACCTTTCACTTCGCTTTCTGATAGCATTCCATTTTCATTGTAATTGGTTGTGTTTATGTCCATACTCCTCTGTTCCTCACCACATCCCTCAATCCTTCAAGGACTGAAATTAGTTCCTTTAGAGCAAGGCCCACCACCTCCTCTCCTCTTTCACATAGTCAGATGTTCAGATACTGAACAGGCGCTCAACCACCATCAAGTGCTGTCCTTTCCTCGGTGCTAACCCACTGTCTTTCCTGGTTCCCAGGCACCCCAGCCTGCGGTCCATGTGCAGGGGCAGGAGCCACTGACTGCCTCCATGCTGGCTGCAGCACCCCCCCAGGAACAGAAGCAGATGCTGGGTGAGTGACCCACTTCCTTGCAGAAGAAGAGAGGCCCAGAGCCTGGTGCCAACTAGGACACCAGTGTCCATTGTTTACTGGGATTTGATTTGGTTTTTTATTAACTACCCTCCCCATAGGAGAACGCTTGTTCCCACTCATCCAAACAATGCATTCAAACTTGGCTGGGAAGATCACGGGAATGCTGCTGGAGATCGACAACTCTGAGCTGCTGCACATGTTAGAGTCCCCCGAGTCTCTCCGCTCCAAGGTGAGCTGGGTCGCAGACCCTGCAGCTTCAGCTCTCAGCTTGGGAAGATTGGGGGCAAACTTGGACACCCAGGTGCAGCAGAGAGTGGGGTCTGCTGCCCCCAGGACCCTTCTCGTCATGCCTTGACTGTGACTGGAGGCTGCTGTGGGTATTTGGGAAAGTAGTTAGCACCAGAAGCCTAGGGATCATCTGTACGGTTGGCTTTGGTCCACTACTAAGTCTGGGCACTAGGGAGGGGTGGAGTAGCTCTCCTAGATTCACTGACCACCTGAAGATTTCTTGCAGGTAGATGAAGCTGTAGCAGTTCTACAGGCTCATCATGCCAAGAAAGAAGCTGCCCAGAAGGTGGGCGCTGTTGCTGCTGCTACCTCTTAGACAAGGAAAAACCGTATGTGTGGCTCTTTTCATTTTTGTTCCTATGAGCATTGTCTTCGTGGTTTGACCTGAGGTTGTATAGATGCTCACTGCTTAGCTCTGGGAATACAATAAGTAGTTACATGGAGTATGTTGCAGGTGACTTCTTATAAGGACTGTGGACTTTGTCTGCAGGGGCTTGAGTGAATAAAGGTTAACTAATACTGGTTGATGGTGGTAGGTGTCTCCAGATAGGGAAAGAAGAGAGTAAAATGAGCTAAGGAGAAAGCACGTGGTAAGAACCAGAGCTGGTGAGCTGGTGTGTTGGGAGGGTTGACTTGGCATAGTCATGACCCTCTTGTCAAGGGCCTCAGGAGCCTTGTCGTCTAGTGGTAAAGACCAGAGATGCTGCTAAACATCGTACAGTACACAGGAGGACAGAACCAACAGAATGCCCGAAGTGTCAATAGTGCTGAGGTTGAGAAATTTCTCTTCTAGAATACCTTCCTTTATCCACTAGATGTTAATGAATCTAAATTATTTGATTATGCATTTATTTGTGTTGGTGCTTTTCTTTACAGGATTCAAAAGCCAAATAACCCCTTACGGAATTCAGCTCAAGGTTTGAAGACTTCTAGCTTGTCCTATGGACCTCAACACCAACGATTACAAATTGCAAATTTAATAGGTCATTTTGTATCAAAAGGTCAATTATGAAACACCTAGAATTTTTCAATTATACGAATATGTTCTCTGGGTTCTGCTGTGGCCCAGACAGTGTTAACTTTTTTTTTTTTTTTCTATTGTGGGTTTTGATTTTTCCCCCAGAAACTGGTTTTATTTGATGTACCCAAGTCTTACGTTTCTCAATAAAGAAAAAAAACTCCATAAAACTGCCTCTGTCTCTGACCACAGTTTTACTCTATGAATTCCAGTTTTCACTGGAAGTAACTTTAGGATGTGAATTGGTTCCAATGATAGTTTATTCTTTCTTGACTTGAAGCTGACAAAGGTTAACAAGATATACAGAACTGTTAAATATGATCCTGTCTCACAGCGTTCTGTTATGATTGTTGTATTAGCCCCACTTAACTTACAGGGAACAGAGATCTGATGTGGTCAGAGCAGACCGTGGGTCGGGCCCAGGAAAATTTGGAGCAGAGTGGGGTTGGTGAGATCTGCAGATACCAGCTGGTTAGTTGAGCCCCGTCTTTCCATTCCTGAACTCTGTTGGGTGGGGTTTGTCCTGTCCCTTATCTCCTGCAGTCAGTTTATGCTGCATTTGAGTCAGCAGATCCAGTTGCCCAGATGCAACCAAGGTTCCCCTAGCAGGGGGAAAATGTTTGGGAGGTCTGTGACTACAGCAAATTGTGCTGAAGTCCTCAGTGCTTGTGGTTTCTTTGATGCTCAAAGTGACAGTAGTGACATCCTAAAGGCCAAGATCACATCCCTTTGCAGCCTGCTTTCCCTGTGGCTCCAGCCTTGCTTGCTTTCCCTCCTGGAGCTTGCTTGATGCTTGCTTAGTGCCCCATCCAGGCAGTCCTTAGAATGCTCATCCCTCTTGGCAGGCTCCTTAAGATCTGGTGTCACCTTAACAGATCTAAAGGAGATGTCCTTGTTTCCTGACGGCCCCTTCTTTCCTTAATCTGGTGCCGGATGGGGCGGGGCACAGTACGGGCTTCCGGCGGAAGCACTGGAAGCAAGATGGCGGCCGCCGAGACGGTCCTCAAAGGGTATGCTGGTGTGGAGCGAGGCATGGTCCTCGTGGGCAGTGCAAAGATTGAGCTGGGGGTGGGCAGAGTGGACAGAGTAGGGCAGGGTGCAGATCCATGGCCCTACGCATCCTGGGCCAGGTCTGTGCTGCTTCACGCTGTCGATTTGTGAGTGGTGCCGGGTAGCGCAGCCCAGATCCCTTTTCCCTACTCCTGACCCTGCACCTAGAGTGGTGGTTGCGATCTGCTACCGTGACCTCAGCCCTTATTCCAAACTGTGGCACCCATTCGTTCCACAAACTCCACAGCTCTGGCCCATTAGAGGAAGGAGGTCCCAGAATAGCTGGGAAATTACGAAAACAGCCTCACTGCACGGGTTGGTGAATGCTGTGATGCGATTGTGTGATGGACGGTGATGTTGAAACCAGACGGGAATGACCACCCCATCCGGAGAGGTGAGGGTAAACTTTCGGGATGCTCTGAGTCCAGAGATGAGTTTGAAAGATGCAAAGTTAACCAAGCAGCCAAGTTGGGAGCCAGGCTGTTGCCTGAATGGAGACAAGCAACGAGAGCCAAAACCCAGAGTCTGGCCATACTTAGTCTATACCATACTAAGAAATGTGGATTTTTCTCCCTTGGCCATTGGATTGCTTTTGAAGAATACCAACCAGAAGAGTAATGTAGTCGTATTTGTATTTTTTTGGGATAATGGAGGAGACAAAAAGGCGGCGATCCCGTTCAGGAAATTGTCGCCATAAACCGGGGCAAAATGTAGGTCAGAAGAGGGAGACGAGTGTACCTCACAAGTGGTTTTGTTATACCCAGAAGAGTATTGGGACCCCTCCCTTTCTGTCCTCCCTGTGCTCATGTTGACAAGGTGTTGGAGCAACTGCACCAGACGTGTGGAGACATTGATTCAGAATGCTCTTGGTGTCTGCAGAGGGGGTGGAGGACATTTCTTCGTGCTGCTTTTACTCCTTTTGGAAACATCACAGATATTCTGATTCTGCTGTATTATGAAACAGTTGACACTGAAAAGTCCCTCTTAAGTCAGATTCCTGATGCCAGGAAAATAACTTAGTAAAAAATTTTATGTCATGGGCATTCTATGTATGGCTGGTATATAATGCATTTCAGGGGGATGTCTCTTTAGGTCAGCATGGTGGTGATCTTGGAGATGGAAAAGGAAGGTTCTGAGGACAGCAGGGCTAGGATGATGGTGTGGCTGTGGGTTGAAATTTACAAAAATTAATCTGTTGGATTTGAGGGTAGACTTTAAGTTGGAACCATTTGGGGGCTTTGATTTCTCATCATTTAATATAAAAAGTGTATAGTAAAAAGGGCGGGTGCAGTGGCTCACGCCTGTAATCCCAGCACTTTGGGAGGCCGAGGCAGGCGGATCACGAG